ATAAATAAATAAATAAAATAGAATCCCTATAAACTGTTGGTGGAAATGGAAACTAGTGCAGGCCCTTTGGAAACTTGTGGCAGTATCTTTAAGATACTACGCAGTTACCACATGACTCAATCCATGTCTATATCTATATATAAGATCCTAGAGAAATGAAAACACGTTCACATAAAAACTTCAAAAGGGGGCTGGAGAGGTAACTCAGGTTACGAGTGCTTGATGCTCTTGCAGAAGACCAAGGTTCAGTTCTCAGCACCCATACTGCTGCTCACAACGGTCAGGCATTCATGTGGTGCATGTACATGCAGGAAAAACACTCATATACATAAATCTTAAAAAATACTTCAACAATCCAGGTGTGGTGGTGCATGCCTTTAATCCCAGCACTTGGGAGGCAGAGGCAGGCGGATCTCTGTGAATTCCAGGCCAGCTGGGGCTACAGGGAGACCCTGTCTCAAAAACAAACTTCAACAGGAATGCATAAATGGGCACATTTCATATACATATATAATAGCCAAAAAGTGACAACAACCCAAATGGCCATCAGGTTATGAATGGATAAAATATAATACATCCATAAAATGTAATACATCTATACAAGGGACTACTATTGAGCAATAAAATCTAATGAAGTCTAGATATGATAATGTACAGCTGTACTCTCAGCACTCTGGAGGTTGAGGCAAGAGGATTTCTGTTTTAGGCTAGCCTTGACTACAAGAAAGACTCTGTCTCAGAAACAACCCAGCATAGTGGTTCATGCCTGTAATTCTAGTACTAGGGAGGTAGAGGTAGGAAGACCAGGAGTTCTAGGCCATCCTCAACTACATAGTGAGTTTCAGGTCAGCCTGGGCTACAGTGAGATTCTAACACACACACACGCACACACGCACACGCACACACACACACACACACACACACACACACACACACACACACACGGGTTGACAGATGCTATATACCACAGATTAATCTTGAAGACATTCATTAAACTAAGTGAAAAAAAGTGAGTCCCAAAGACCACATATTGTTATGATTGCACTTGAACCATCTAGAATAAACAAAGACTGTAGATTGGTAGTTGCCTAGCGTTGGGGCAGAGTTTGAATAATAGGTATGGAATTTCTTTTAGAGGAATGAAAATTTCTAAAATTATATTATGGTAATAATTATGAATATATAAAAAAAATCACTAACTCCCCCACTTTTTTGTGTTCCTGGCAATGCAACTACCTTGAGATCCCAAGTCAACCTATGCTAAGAATACCTTCAGAATATATGTATTTTATAACTTTCTATAATATTAAAAATAAATTTAAAACAAATTACAAGAGCCAAATATTAATCTAACGAATAAGCCACTTCTAATTGAGTATTTAGTGTGAGGAGCAACTTTTTCTTTGAAAAAGAAAAGAACAAAGGAGTAAACACTATTAATAAGCCTTCATGCTAAGACACAGAGGATGATTTTAAAAATAAACACCACCATTGGATTGGTACTAAAAATAGCACATTTTTACATTTCTTTAAGTGAAAATAACATTGATTAAAACAAAGCCATCTAATAAATATTTGTTGATTTTCAAAGTGAATGACTTGGCCAAATAAAAAAATGACAAATGCATCCACATGTAGCCATTTTATAACAAGTGTAAATTATTTCACAGATCCCTTTAACAAACAGTATTTTGTCCTTAAGAGAACAGTTTCTTTAACCATTAGTAAAATATTGCATTCAAAATACTTTTAAGGCACCAAAATAAATACATACATCATCAAAATACAGGAACATCATGAAAATTATGTTGAATAAACTGTGAAAAAAATGAGATTTTTTTTTGCTTTGACAATGCATAGTAACTTAACCAGAAAATTAATCTTTGTAAAATTAGATATGTACTTCTATATATCCATCTTTTTTGCAAGAAATAGATGGCAGTTTTGAAACAATGACTTATGTCAAATTGCATTCTAGTCCTAAGATGTTTGCTTATTTTCCCGTTTTCTTTCCCCGGCAATTTATGATTTCCAGAGTCCACATGCAGTAAGTAGTCAATACATTAACAACTTCACAACTTTTAAATCTTCATGTAAACAGCTTTATCAGATGATTATCTTTTAGAAAACTTTTGAGAGCATTCTTTACACTAGCAAACATTTTCACAGTTTAAAAAATGCAAGTTATTGCTGGTGAGTACTTCCTCAACTGGAACCCCCCCTTGCATGTGTCCTATGTGGACACACAAGAAACCCTCTTGTGTCTTTTGGTTAATTATAAACCAGGAAATCCAAAGGAGACTTTTTTTTGTAGATACAAGAGAAACAGTCTTGTCAGAGGCCCCTCATAAAAATACACAGAGGATTCGATATTGATAATTATGTAAATAAAATCATTTAATGATAGGCCTTTGTGAAACATTTTCTTATAGATTCCTGAACATATTAACAATTATTTAAGTGACTACATTTGAAAGATGTTTATTTTAATTTTTTTTTTTTTTTTGAGACAGAGTCTCCCTGTAGACTCAACTGCTCTGGATTATAGAGATCAGCCTGCCTCTGCCTCCCAAGTGCTGGGATTAAAGGCATGTGCCACCACGCCTGCCTAATATCCTTTTTCTTATGGTAAGAAAATTATTTCAGTTTCACTATAGAGGGCTCTCATACTGCTGTGTAAACATTACTGCAATAAATATTTTATTTTTTATCAATCACGTACCTGCTCATTTCCTAGGTAACAGGCAAAATGAAAATTCTCTCCTTTGTCCTCTATTCCAATAAAAAGACAGAACTCTGGCATGTGGAAGGCTGGGAGCTAAGAAAGCAAGCATCCTTAAAACAGACTGCAAAACAGAGGGCTAAGCCAGTACATCAAGTCATAAACATAGGTTCCCTTTTGTTATTCCTGAGCCTTTAGTAAAAAGCTCATTCAAATGCTCCAGCCCTGTCTCATCTGTGCTGTGGGAGACAAGGCACAGATTTATGCTATGATTAGTTTAGGTTAAAGGGGGCACAGCCTGAGTAAACTATGGAGCGAAGATAAAGCTTAGAGGTGAGGAAGCTACATCTTGGTGGAGTCTTCCACTGTCCATGGACACACACACATATTTTCAAATGGCAGAGGCCTAGTGCACAATTTTTCTGCAAAGTGGTAGATATACTACATCCCTATGACTCACTCAAGATTCCAAACAGAGCTGGCACCCATGATGTTTGTGGTAGGTAGGAAGCAAGAATAGACTTTATTGTTTTGCTTTTCTAAGCATCTCTTATTCTGTAGCTAAGGCTAGCCTTGATCTCATGTTAATCCTCTTGTCTCCACCTCCCTCCCAAGTGCTGTAATTACACATGTGAACCACCAGTTGGGCCAGAAATTGGCCTTTCTGAAAAGATTCCCAAGAGATTCTTTGTCAAAACTTCTTTCACAATCATGTGTTATGTGATTCTTTCTCATTCTCATGAGTGTATGGTGGTGTCTTCCAGAGACTGATATGTGATTTTGCAAAAGAGTGAATACAGAAACAGATATGAGAATCCATTTAACTTCATTAAGTCAGACAGTAAAAATATCTGCAAAAGAAAAATGTCACTTTTTTCACTAAATCTTTCTATGCTTTGGAGGTTACTATTAAAGAGATGGGGTTTGGAAGTTATTGTAAGTAAATACAAATTTGAAAACTTTGATTTATTTTTTATTTTTATTTTTGAGACAGGGTCTCCCTGTAGCCCTAGCTAGTTTGGAACTATGTAGACCAGACTGGCCTCGAACTCACAGAGATCCACCTGCCTCTGCCTTCTGAATGCTGGGACTAAAGGCTGCACCACCATGCCCGGCTGAAAACTTTGAATTTTAATACTAATACATATAACCTACATAAAAGGTTTTAAGCATATATCCAGTACCCTATGAGCATTACTGCTGGTATGGGCCACTTAATCCTTGGCACAATGTATGCTTCACTTTTTTATTAATTTAAAAAATATTTTATTGCTGGGCGTGGTGGAGCACGCCTTTAATCCCAGCACTTGGGAGGCAGAGGCAGGCAGATTTCTGTGAGTTCAAGGCCAGCCTGGTCTACATGGTGAGTTCCAGGACAGAGGCTACAGGGAGACCCTGTTTCAAAAAGACCAAAAAAATTTTTTTTTATTTTTATTTTATGTGTATGAATGTATAGACTGCATGTATGTAAGTGCACCCATGTCGTGCAATGACTGAAGGTCAGAAGTGGGTGTCTAATCCCCTGGAACTGGAGTTAAATGGTTGTTAGCCACTATGTGGGTGCTGGGATTCAAACCTGGGTCCTCTGCAAAGGCAGCCAGTGCTCTTAACCTCTGAGCCATCTCTCCAGCCTGATTTTTTTACTTTATATTGTAAACACATCACTTTAAACTTAATTCAACAGATCATTTGCAAAAAATCTCATTAAGCTTATTTCAAAGCATGGGGATTTAATCTGTGAACTGAAGCATAACTAGCTTTAGTTAAGAGTACAAGACACACAGCATATTTTCCTTTGTGACATCAGGATGTAATAATACTTTAATGTATACACAGATTGGAGACATGAAACAGGAAATTCATACTTTATGATAAATTTTAAAAGCACTCACATATGAGTAATATGTTGGATTAGATTCTAAGTGAGTGGCAGCAAATGGATGGCTAGTCCCAAATGTTAGCTAAAACCAGAATTTTTAAAATTTTTATTTTATATGTATGAATGTTCTGCCTGCATGTATATATGTGCACCCATGTCATGCAATCCCTGTGGAGGCCAGAAGAGGGCATCAGATCCCCTGGAACTGGAGTTGTGGTGGGTTGTTAGCAGCCATGTGGGTGCTGGGAGCTGAACACAGGTCCTCTGCAAGGGCAGCCAGTGCTTTTAACTGCTGAGCCATCTCTCCAGCCTTAAAAATAAAATCTTAATTTGGGGGTGGGGGGAGTAGAAAAAAAATTAACTGTTTCTTAGAGAATTTTCTGTTTTTTAAAAATTACATAATTAAAGGATTTCTTTTTGGAGGTTGTGCTGGAGATTGAATCTAGCCTCATACATGCTAGGCAAGCACTTTACCACTGAAGACACATCCTCATTCTATAAAATTACATATTTAGAAGGTACAAAAATGTGTGTAGGCAGATGAATACCAACGTCATACTAAGCTACACAAATTTACCCTTAAATGATAATATATCTTAGATATTGTTGCCAAATGAATACTTGAATCTATCTTGCCAACAGAGTGAATACTGAGAATGCTTTGGAGTTTAGGCACAGCCGGAGTGAAAATAAGTCTTCCTAGCCTTTATTATATCTGAGTTTTAAAATAATTTCATTGATGCTTCTAACTTGCCATGTATTTTAATGTATTGCTATTTAAAAACCAAGATAGCTAAGATTTATATATATACCTGCTGTTTGGAAGTAAACTTTGAATGCTAATGTTGCAAACACTTTTGCTAATTAAGACCACATTAAGATTCTAAATGCTAATAACAGCTGTTTAATATATCATATTAACCAGTATTTTCAAATACGCGTTTTTCCGAGTAGCTTTTTGAAAAAAGTGCACTGAATACAGTCATATGTTACACTATCTTGTGGTTATTAAAAATCTTCTGATCAGGAGTTAAACAGCACTCAAACCACAGGTTCAGTGAAACTGACTTCTGTCTCCCACTTTAGCACATCCACTTCCAACCATTTCTCTGCAAAATTCCTTAAGTTCTCAAAAAATCAACACCATCAAAGTCTTCTAAAAGGTTCGGCAGTTTTCTTGAGTCTCTGAATGATCACAGCATTCTGCAAATCTGCTTCTTCCAATGTGAGTGTCTCATCCAGCAATCTGAGGAAAGGAAGAGCTGTTGCCAGGCAAAAAGGAGGGCTTCTCTGAGATCCCTGGTATTTCTCAATGAAGTCCTTGATGTGGCTCACTCTGTAAAATACCACAAACTATTAATTTTATGAAAATCTGAACTAGTTCACTGAAAGTAATACCAACTTGTGTAGGTATTTAGATTTGTTAAATACAGAATAAATTAATCATTTGGGCTTTCTTTTTTTTTTTTTTTTTTGAGTGCTGGGATTACAGGTCAGTGCATAGTTTATGGGTATGTGCCACCATGCCTAATTTATGTGGTGCTGGGCACTGAACCCAGGGCTTTGTGCATATGAGGCAGGTACTTTACCAACTCAGCAACATCATTACATCTCAAGTTCCCCATTCTTGTTTGTGTGGGCTGTGGATGAAACCCAAAGGCTCATGCATGCTGCATGCTACTCAAGAAATCTACTACTCGGCTAAAATTCAAGCCCTTTTAAAATTGACCCCTATATGTTTATAAGAATGTACTCTACCAAATGAGCTACATTCCCAGCTTATAATCATTACAATTTTGAATGTAGCTCAAAGTTATTTATCCTCACCTTTGTATGTGTTTAAGAGATTGCACAAGTAACTTATCAAAATTAAGATTTCATTAACTTTTACAACATATTATTATTATTATTTTTTGTCTTTTTCTGAGACAGGGTCTCTCTGCAGCACCAGTTGGCCAGGAACTCACTATGTAGACCAGGCTGGCCTTGAACTCAGAGAGATCCACCTGCCTCTGCCTCCTGAGTGCTAGGATTAAAGGCATGCACCATCATGCCCAGCCTAATTTAATTTTCTTGTTAATTTATTATTTTGCATGTTTATGTGTTACTGGGGTATGGATTTGTACATATGAGGTCAGAGACAACTTTCTGGAGGTGGTTCTCTATTCACTTTTACTTGGAGTTCTAGGATCAAACTCAGTTTGTCAGGTTTGTACAGCAAGTGCTTTTATCCACTGAGCCACCCCCTAGCTCTATTAATTTTTTTTTTTTTGTCTTTTGAGACAGGGTCTCCCTGTAGCCCCAGCTGTCCTGGAACTCCCTATGTAGACCAGGCTGGCCTTGAACTCACAAAGATCCGCCTGACTCTGTTTCTGAAGTGTTGGGATTAAAGGCATGCCACCATACCCAGCTCTATTGTTTTTAAACCAAAACTATGACTATTTTCTTTTCTTTTTTTTTTTTTTTCCTTTTGGTAATGGTGGGGATCAACCCAGGGCCTTGTGCATGTTAGGCAAGTGCTCTACCACTGAGCCACATCCCCAGTCCTCAGAATATTTTCTTACCACTTGTAATTTCTGTCTTTATGTTTATTGAAACTGTGTGCTTTTAGACTTAATTTCACAAACATTTATCAAATCATATAATTTCAAAAATGAAAAATAGAAGTAGACTTAATAAGCAAGCTGATTGTTCCTTACTCTTGGATATTACTCACACTCATCCCCAGAGTCATTTTTGGTTCAGTCATCAGTGCACGTTTTTCCATATACAGGTATGTTAGTGATACAAACTTTCTTTTGTATTTTTCAATACTGGGAATTGAACCAAATGTTTTGTGCAAGAATTGTGCCACGTAGTCACACTCTTAATATGATATAAAATAGATTTTTTTTGAGACAGGAGTTCATGTAGCCTAGGCTGGCCTCAAACTTGCAAGCAGCAGAGGATAATTCAACTTCTGATTCTCCTGCCTCCAATTCCTGAGTGCCTGATATATATAAGATTCTAGCCGGGCGTGGTGGTGCACACCTTTAATCCCAGCAGAGGCAGAGGCAGGTGGATCTCTGTGAGTTCGAGGCCAGCCTGGTCTCCATGGTGAATCCAGGACAGCCTGGGGCTACAGGGAGACCCTGTCTCAAAAAGACCAGAAAGAAAAAAAAAAGATTCTATTGCAAAAACAAACGAACAAAGAAAGAAAAACTGTATAAAAGATGAGAGAAGGTAATGAAAAATTATAAATCTGAGTTTTGTAGCACAAGATTGTAATCCCAGCTACTGGGGAGGCTGAGACAGGAGGACTGAAGCAAGGTCAAGGCCTGCCTGGGCCACTTTGTGAGACCCTGCCCCAAAGTTAACTAACTCATGCAAGTTGTTCCACCCATACCTCCACACCCATACCCACTCACTCTCTAATTACACACACACACACACACACACAAACACTAAACAGCTATAAGAGGATGAAAATAGTAATGCCTGTTAAATAAAAAGAATGTAAGAAGAAATTTTTTAAAGAAACAAGAGAAACCAAAGAGAAAAGATGGTAACTCTAGACCCCACTTACTTCAGGAAATTATGATCACTTGGGCTGGCAGGATATCTCAGTGGGCAAGGATACTTGTTATATAAGCCTGACACACCATGAGTTCAATACTCAGAACCCATATAAAGATGGAAGGAGAAAACTGAGTCCACAAAGTTGCCCTCTGACCGCTCGACATCCTCCCCATCATACACAAAGATATAGAGTAATAAAGTTTAACAGGTTGTGCATGGTGGTGCACGTCTTTAATCCCAGCACTTGGGAGGCAGAGGCAGGCATATTTTTGTGAGTTAGAGGCCAGCTGGTCTACATAGCAAGTTCCAGGCCAGCTAGGGCTTCAGGGAGAACTTGTCTCAAACAAAAGACCGGAAAAAAAAAGTTTAACAAACAGACCAAACATTCTAATGGAGGGGGTATCTAAAGCTGGGTATGGTGGCACATAACTCTAATTCATCTAATTCAGCATTCAGAAGGCTGGGGCAGAAGGATTGCTACAAGTTAAAGGCCAGCCTGGACTATATAGTAGACTACAGAGTAAGACTGTCTTGAAAAACAAACTAAAACAAAAAACTAATTTTATCTGGGCATGGTAGTACATGCTCATAATCCTGGTACAAGGGTGTTGAAGCAGGATTGTGAGTTCAAGGCCAACAGGGATTACACAGAGTTTCAGGCTAATCTAAGATACCCACCAAGCCCCTATCTCAACAAACAAACCAAACAGCCCAAGCAAGGTGATTAATCATCACTTAATAAAAACTATAGGCCTTTTAAAAATTGTTATTTTTTTATATGTATGAGTGTTTTGCCTGCATGTATGTAAATTCACCTGTATCATGCAAAGCCTGCAGCAGTCAGAAGAGAATGTGGGATCCCCTGGAATTGGAGTTATGGGCAGCTGTTAGCCGCCATGTGGGTGCTGGGAATCGAACCCAGGTCCTCTGGGGAAGAGCAGCCAGAGCTCTTAACTGCTGACCCATCTCTCCAGCCCCTCTCACCCCCTTTTTTGGTCTTTGGAGACAGGGTCTCATTTGATAGCCTGGAACTTACTATGTATACCAAGTTGGACTTGAACTTACAGAGATCCACCTGCCCCAATCTCCCAAGTGCTAAGATTAAAGATGTGTGCCACTACACCAGACTCAACCAAGAAATTTTTTTAAAAACTTTGAGAATTTCATACATGCAAATAAGGTTTTGATCAAATTCATGCCCACTCCTTCCCCTCCAACATCTCCCATATCTCCCTATCACTTTATTCTGACAACTTTGTGTATTCTTTTTTCTTTCTTTCTTTTTCTCACTTTCTCTCTTTCTCTCTCTCTCTTTCTTAATGGAGCTTTTTGCTACTCTTAACATCCTCCCCTCTGAAGAGGTAACCCTAAAATCTTTTAGGAATTAGATAAGAGCTCCCAAATACTTTTGACATTTTTGGCCTTTGGAACAGAGTCTGTTCCCAAGGACATTTTGATTTTTTAAAAAACATTTTATTTATTATTTTTATGTGTATGAGTGTATTGCCTGCATGCATGTGAGTGCACCCGTGTTGTGCAATGCCATGGAAGTCAGAAGAGGGCTTTGGATTCCCCTGAAACTGGAGTTAAGGACAGTTCATGTGGGTGCTGGGAATCGAACTCGGGTCATCTGCAAGAGCAATCAGTGCGTTTAACTGCTGAGCCATCTCTCTAGGCCCCAGACATTTTTATTTTTAGCTAAGAAACTAGTTACTTTTCTTTGGAGTCTTTTTACCCTAACTGCCTAGCCAATTCCTACCTCCTATTCTTATCACACCACCCTCTGAAGTTACCCAGCTTGTCACAAGATAGGGAATCGGGACTCAGACCACTCTGGCTTCTTCCATGCTGAACAGGGAGGGAGGCAGGGTGAGACAATTGGAGTACCCCTTCAGTGGGTCTATCTAAGACTCCCAAATTGCATAACTCTTATCACCACGTTGGGGCAGGACCCAGGCACTCTCAAGAGGATCCCTAAGTTCTCAGCCGCTAGCCAGAGGAAGGCTGGAACAGGCACTCTGGTGGTCTGCTGAGATCTCAGCTTTAACCTACCAACCCTCTGCCAGGGGCCTTGGAAGGGGCCTCACGTAGTCCCAGTTAGGGGGTTGGGTACAGGGCAATTTGGGGAAGCTCACCACCACGTGGGGGCAGGATCCTGGCCTCTCAGGTGGGTCCCCTGATTTCTCAACCCCTAAGCTAGAGGGAGGCCAGAAGAGGCACTCTGGCAGTCCGCTGAAATCTCAGTTTTATCCTACCAAACACTCAACCAAAAATTTTAAAGTAGACATATTACCCATGAACCTATTTATGGCTGAGGAAGAAATAGTGTCTCCACTATAAGGTAAAGTAATTTAAAAGTTACTAATTTTATCTCTGCTGAACCTAATTATATAACTTTAGATCTATACAGCAAGCTGGGTGTGGTGGTATACTTGTAGTTCCAACTACACTAGAGCTGAGGCAGGAGGATTACTTGTGTTTAGGAGGTCAAAACCAACCAGGGCAAAATTGTGAGACCCTTGTTCAGAAAAAGCCACACAGACAGAGATGGGGTTGAGGGGAGAGAAAGAATGCTTCAGCAAACAAAGAGACTAAAACATAAAATAACCAAATCCCTAACTATTGTAGGAGATTTTAGTATAACCTTGTGCTGGATAGCTTTAGTGTCAACTTGACAAACCTGGGTTGAGGGAGCCTCAATGAGGGAATTGCCTCCATTGGACTGGCTGTGGCCATGTCTGTGGGGCATCTTCTTGATTACTGAGTGATGTGGGAGGG